TTATTATCTAAGCCTTGGGTCTGAAAGGCCCACAGGAAGAGCCTTTTGACAATTGCCCACAGAACTTTCATCTAAAGTCTCTTTTGTAAAGGCAGGAATATGCTTTTCCTTATGAAGTATGTGTTCAGAATATGGGTCTGATATGGAACATTATGAGGCCTGGTCAATACCAGCAAGGCTTATATCCAACATGAGCCAGTAGTAGCAGAAGGAGATACCAGTTTTCATTTCTCATGGCAGGAGCTGCAAACATTGCCATTTCCTTGCTGTGACTGCCATCCAGAGAGGCCGGTGCTGCTCCCAGCAATGACCCAGCTATTGCATTACTTGGTATTTACCCAAAGGATACAAAAATACTGATTTGAAGGGGCACATGCACCCCATTGTTTTTAACAGCATTATCAACAATAGCCAAATTGTGGAAAGAGCCCAAATGTACATCAAGTGATGAATGGAAAAAAAATATGTAGTATATATACAATGGAATATTACTCAGATATCAAAAAGAATTAAATTTTGCCATTTGCAATGACATGGATGGAGCTATAGTGTATTATGCTAAGTGAAATAAGTCATTCAGAGAAAGGCAAATACCATATGATTTCACTTATATGTGGAATTTAAGAAACAAAACATATGAACATAGGGAAGGGGAAAAAAGAGAGGGAAGAAAACAGAAGAGACTCTCAACTATACAGAACAGACTGAGGTTTGCTGGAGGAGAGGTGGGTAGGGGATGGACTAAATGGGTAATGGGCATTAAGGAGGGCACTTGCTGTGGCAAGCACTAGGTGTTGTATATAAGTGAAGAATCACTAACTCCTATTCCTGAAACCAAGATTACACTACATGTTAACTAACTAGAATATAAATAAAAACTTAAAAAATAAAACAAGAGGCAAAAAACAAAACCAAAATACTAGTCTCTCTGACATAATATTCTAGCTTGAGATTCACTTTTGGTAAACAACTGCAATGAAGGAAAACAGTTATTTGGGCAGAGCTTTCACTACTGCATTATTTATAATAATGAAACCTTGGAAATAATAAAAATATTCCAAATAAAGGGTGATAAGTAAACTATGGCATGACCATTCAATAGAACATTTTATAAAACTATTTTTAAATTTTATGAAGACACTGTAATAACATTAAAAAATGAGTGAAAAAGCAATTGACAAAAAAAAAAACACCCTCCCTCAACTAAGAGTATGTTATTTTTATAAGTTTTAAAAATCAGTTAATTTTATTTTAAAAATTATGACTATGAGGAATCCAGGAGCAAAAAAAAAAAAAAAAAAAAAAAAAAGGCCAGTTTCTTTTATAATGCTAAATGATAAAGGCAGAAGATAAAATATTTAACCGGTACTCAGATTACAGCTCTATAAAACATTCATTCATATGGATAACTATGAGACAAGACATGGGCTACAAGTCATTCATTAGGCTAGTAGAATTATGGTTGATTTTTTACTCCTTAAAAATTTCTTTCCAGGTCACCTGGGTGGCTCAGTCGGTTAAGCATCCAGATGAGGTCATGATCTCGTGGTCTGGAAGTTCGAGACCTGCGTTGGGGTCTGTGCTGACAGCTCAGAGCCTGGAGCCTGCTTCAGATTCTGTGTCTCCCTCTCTCTGCCCCTCCCCCCTACCTTCCCCCACTCACACTCTGTCTCTCTCTGGTCTCTCTCAAGAATAGGGGCGCCTGAGTGGCTTAGTCGGTTAAGCGTCCGACTTTCGCTTTGGTCATGATCTCGCGGTTCGTGTGTTCGAGCCCCGCGTCGGGCTCTGTGCTGACTGCCAGCTCAGAGCCTGGAGCCTGTTTCAGAGTCTGTGTTTCCCTCTCTCTCTGACCCTCCCCTGCTCATGCTGTCTCTCTCTCTCCTAGAAATAAATAAAACATTAAAAAAAAAAATTAAAAAAAAAAAAAAAGAGGGAAAAAGGCGGGGCGCCTGGGTGGCTTAGTCGGTTAAGCGTCCGACTTTCGCTTAGGTCATGATCTCGCGGTTCGTGGGTTCGGGCCCCGCGTCGGGCTCTGTGCTGACTGCCAGCTCAGAGCCTGGAGCCTGTTTCAGTCTGTGACTCCCTCTCTCTCTGACCCTCCCCTGCTCATGCTGTCTCTCTCTCTCCTAGAAATAAATAAAACATTAAAAAAAAAAATTAAAAAAAAAAAAAGAATAAACATTAAAAAGAATTTTTTCTTTCCTTAAAAAAATCTTTTTTGCCATCTTTGTTTTTTGTAAGTGGAACACAAACATATCACAGAGGAGGATAGAAAACTTTTGGTGACCTACCTGCTGCTCCTTTCTAAGGAATGTTTCAATCTCCGTATGAATCCGGTTCTCTTCTTCAATTTTCAACCTTAATTTCTGTGAAAATAAACCAATATCAGGAAATCTTCCCTGTAGGGTTCGGAATGAGAAGTTCTCAAGATTAGAGGTGTAGATGTGACAGTACTTCTGGTTTTCTTAACCAACGGGGTCCCAAGAATCTTCCCACATCATGCTGGGGCAGCACATCAGTTCCCCTTAACCCAATTTGTGTTCATGGAGGGGCTGAGCCATGTGTTGGGCGTTATTGTGAACGAGTGCCAGTGTCCAATACAAAAGGACCATATCCAGTTGCCTGGAAAGGGAGGTCGTTTAAGGAGAGAAACAATGTTTCAAGGACACAATGTTCTTAGGCCTAAAAAAAGACATTCCAGAATGCAAAAGTTTGCAGTAAGAGTCATATGTCACACCCAGGGAGGAAGTTTTCAAATAGGCAAGGGACCAGAGAAAGCAGTCCTCTTGAGCCTGGAGGACACCACTAAGGTTTGCTCCTTCTCACCCACCTATTGTTCTTTCAGCCATTTAGGCTTCCTTCTCAAATGAGGGTCTACCCGTGGTTTGTTTCTCCAGGTATTTTTACAGTGTGATTTCCCAGCTCTATAGATTTAGGTTTGAATAAAGCTCAGCACTCTTGATCTTATACTTTAAGTTTATTTTTATTTATTTAATTAATTCATTCATTCATTTAGAGAGAGTGCACATATGCGTGCAGACATAGGGGAGGGGCAGAAAGAGAATCCCAAGTGGGCTCCATGCTCTGCGTCAGGCTTAATCTCATAAGAGCCAAAATCAAAAGTCATGGAAGCTCAACCAACTGAGCCACCCCTTGATTTTATATATATGTTTTAATGTTTACTTTTGAGAGAGAATGCGTGCGCAAGCAGGGGAGGGGCAGAGAGAGAGGGAGACAAGGATCTGAAGTTGACAACAGAGAGCCTCACCTGGGCCTCCAACTCAGGAACTGTTGGATCATGACCTGAGGGGAAGTCGGACACTTAACCAATTGAGCCATTCTCTTAATGGAGGGAGAAAAGGTACTGACTGGTTGGATAAGGAAGGCAGCAGCAAAAACTCACACTTAATAAGTATCTTGTTTTGGGCATTTCATTCTGTTTTTATTTTTTTTCCCCCTCAAATGAGAGAGCTGCAGGAAAGATAGGGTAAAGATCAAGAAAATCTCCCCCCCCGCCCCCCGTTAGCTGAAGCAGTATGAGGAAAGACAGCTCAAATGCCATCTACCATGTTCATTTCCTGATGTAGCAGTGATTACCTCTATCTCTTCCAGCAAGAGCTCCTCTGTTCTGTTACATTTCTTCTGAGTCTGGGAGATCTGCAGCTCAGTGTTTCTCTTCATATAACGATTCTCCAGGTTAGTTTTTGCCTTAATCTCTTGCAACTGGTCCTTGAGGTGAGCAATATATTCATTCTGATTCTGTAGAGGTAAGACCAGGTTTCTAAATTAAAATACATTCTACTTCCATTCAGTTCAGCCAGTGGCTAAAACTTACCTCTTGTATTTATAAATCAACAAGGAAATGGATCTATTTTTCTGCTATCACACCACAGGAAAGTTAGCCAATCATTAGGATTAGTATAAATGAGAATGAAAGATAAGTAGCACCAGGACTGTGAGATTCTTTCCTAAGTACACTATTTGGGTATATATCTTTGGATCTACAAAGATTTCCCATTACTATCTCATTTTGGGAGAAAGAGCACTAGTCTAAATGATCAAAAGAACGATCTTCCCATGCAAGCCCCTAACAGCTGTGTTAACCTGGCCAAGTCAGGTAAACTCTCTAAGTCTTACCTTCTAGAACATAAAAGCATTAGTAACTGCCTTGCCTGGTATATCTTTAGCAAGTGATAAGAAACTGAATGGAGAATATATGAAAATTCTTTGCAGGTCACAAAGTGCTTAGCAATTTTAAGATTTCAGTACAGGGGCGCCTGGGTGGCTCAGTCAGTTGAGGGCCCAATTCTTTCTTTCTTTTTTTTTTTTTTTTAATTTTTTAAATGTTTATTTTTGAGAGAGACAGAGACAGAGTGAGAGACAGAGTGAGAGACAGAAACAGAGTGAGAGCGGGGAGGGGCAGAGAGAGAGGGAGACACAGAATCTGAAGCAGGATACAGGCTCTGAGCAGTCAGCACAAAGCCTGATGAGAGGCTCGAACTCGCAAACTGAGATCATGACCTGAGCTGAAGTCAGACGCTTAACTGACTGAGCCACCCAGGCATCTCAGGTCCAACTCTTTTTAAAAAAATTTTTAGGGGCACCTGGGTGGCTTAGTCGGTTAAGCGTCCGACTTTCTCTTAGATCATGATCTCGCGGTTCGTGGGTTCGAGCCCTGCATCGGGCTCTGTGCTGACTGCCAGCTCAGAGCCTGGAGCCTATTTCAGAGTCTGTATTTCCCTCTCTCTCTGACCCTCCCCTGCTCACGCTGTCTCTCTCTCTCTCCTAGAAATAAATAAAAACATTAAAAAATATATATATTAAAAAATAAAAAAAAATTTTTAATGTTTATTTTTAAGAGAGAGCAAGTGAGCACACACAAGCAGGGAAGGGGGAGAGAGAGGGAGACACAGATTCTGAAACAGGCTCCAGGCTCTGAGCTGTCAGCACAGAGCCTGATTTAGGGCTTGAACCCACAAACTGTGCAATTGAGATCATGACCTGAGCCAAAGTCAGATACTTAACCAACTGAGCCACTCAGGTGCTGCAAGGGTGCAACTTTTGATTACAACTCAAATTATGATCCCAGGATTGTAAGATCAAGCCCTGTGTCAGGCTCTGCGCTTAGCATGGTTACTGCTTAAGATTCTCTCTTCCCCTCTGCCCCTTTCCCCCACTCATGTGCACTTTCTAATAAAAATTTTTTAAAAATTCATTCAGTAGCATACTAAGTTAAATAGTGGAGATTTAATAGACATGGTCCTTGCCCTCATAGACTTTACCATCTAGTGATAGAGATGTGATTAAAAATAAACTTTTTGGGAGTACCTGGGTGGTTCAGTCAGTTAAGCATCTGACTTTGGCTCAGGTCATGATCTCATGGTTCAGGAGTTCGAGCCCTGCATCAGGCTCTGCACGGACAATGCTGAGCCTGCTTTGGATCCTCTGTCCTCCTCACTCTCTGCCCCTCCCAGCTTGTGGTCTCGATCTCCCTCTTGCTCATTCTCTCTCTCAAAAATAAATATTTAAAAAAAAAAAAAAAAAGCTTTTTGAGGCATGTGGCTGGCTCAGTTGGTGGAGCATGGGACTCTTGATCTTGGGGTTGTGAGCTCAAACCCCACATTGGGTATAGAGATTACTTAAAAATAAAGTATTTTAGGGGCACCTGGGTGGCTCAGTTGGTTGGGTGTTCTACTTCAGCTCGAGTCATGATCTCATGGTTGGTGGGTTCAAGCCCTGCCTTGAGCTCTGTGTTGACAACTCAGAGCCTGGAGCCTGCTTTGGATTCTGTGTCTCCCTCTCTCTGTCCCTCCCCCATTCGTGCTCTGTCACTTTCTCAAAAATAGACATTAAAAAATTTTTAATAAATATTTTAAAAACAAAAGCAAAACAATTTTTAAAGGTGCAAGTTACATAAACTTTTTTGAAGGTGTAAAACACTATTAAAGAATACAACAACAGGCCATGAAAGAAAATAACAAGGGAGACCTACATTAGATTGGACGGTCTGAAAAAGGATTCTCTAGGGCACCTGGGTGGCTCAGTTGGCTAACCACTCAATTGCAGCTCTGGTCATAATCTCCTGGTTTGGGAGTTCTAGCCCCACATTGGGCTCCGCACTGACAGTGTGGAGCCTGCTTGGTATTCTTTCTCCCTCTCTCTCTGCCCCTCCCCCCAATGAATAAACTTTAAAATACATGTATATAAAAAATAAATAAGAAGGGTTCTCTGAGAAAAGAAAGTTAAATCTGACACCCGAAGGGTATGTATGTATGTCACATGAGAAGTGGAGTCAAGGAAGATTCTAAGAAAAAGGAAAAATAAATGCCCAAGTCCTGAGGCACCAAAAACCTGGATACATTCCAGGGATTGAGAGAAAACTCTAGAGACTATCCCAGCAACAGCTGAGAATGGGACTGGATGAGGTTGTGTTACGGAATCTGGTCTGGATCACCCGGTGAAAGAACCAAGCGGCACTAAGATCTTGGAGGGCTGGAGGTTTATTTGACACTGGTGGGCTCAGAGGGGCTCATTCTCCAGAAGTATGAGCCCAGATCATGAGCAGAGGAACAATTTATAGCCAGTTACTTCTGCATTCCTCATTAATCATGGACAGGGGTTTTTTATTAGTCCTGTCGGCCATCTTACAACAGATTTTCCCTATCAATTGGAGAGGTGGGTAAGAAGGAACCATGAAGGAGCTATTTAGTTTGAATTGTATTCCAAGTGCCATGGGGAGATTTGGAAGTGTTTTAGTCAGGGCGGTAACATTTGACTGTTTGAAAAGAATCAGACACAGCATGGGTCATTTCACAGAGAGATGATCAGTTAGCACAACTAATAATAAAAATGCATTGCTTTATCAGAGATCTATGTTTCTCTAAATACCAACCAATTTTTAGTCTTACCACTAAGCTGGGAGGAGTTAGTTCTAAGAATTAGAAGAAACAAAGCAGAAATCAGTCAAGATCATCCACAATGAAAAACAAATACAGTTTAAAGGATCATAGGCCCCTCTGTGGGGTTGAGCCCTGAGTTGGGCTCTGTGCTGACAGCTCAGAGCCTGGAGCCTTCTTCAGATTCTGTGTCTCCATCTCTCTGCCTCTCCCCCGCTCACGCCTCTGCCCCTCTCTCAAAAATAAACATTAAAAAAAGAAAATACGCTGTCTTTAAAAAAAATTTTTTTTAAATAAAATAATCATAGGCCCCTAAAGTTAGTTAAAAAGGAATTCTTCAAGTCATTTTGTCTGACTTCTTGGTGTCAGACAAACTGGAATCATTCCAATTACAGAGCAGTTATTCCACCTGTATCAGAGCCACTCCCAGGAGATGAGTATCTCTGGCAGAGAATATGCTACAAGCCTAGTTGACAATACATCTCAGTGCTTTTTAGTCTCTTACAAGTTGTGGGCAATTAACTTCTCTAAGACATTCCTCAGCTGTTAAACCCTGCCAGTGCCTCCCACAACTTAGCTACTCAATAAATGTTCATTAAATTAACTTTAAGAGAGTTCTTTTTTAGCTCACTTTTTCCCCTTCCCTTCTTTCTACACACTTCCCCCTTCTCCTGTCTCTTCCCCATTTCGCTTTTTCCTTCCCTTCTAGTTCAGATTGTATGGCAATACAATAAAGTTTGGATTTCTAGAAGACTTGAGTTTGAATGAAATATGATGGTGTCACTTCTTCATTGGCTGGATTCTGAAATACCTATTGAACCACTTAGACTTTCTTTGAGACCCTGCTTATACACCTCTTAAATCCATAAAAACTTTACCAGAAAACCTCAGCCATATAAATAATTATAGTTTTGTTTCTTACAGAATCTAACAGTGTTGAACAGTTAAGTATTCATTAAATAGCATCAATAAAAAAATATACTTTCAAATACTCAAGAAAATGTTCCTGGTCAGTTTTCTTTATCAAACTGAATACTAAGTCTTTCAGAGTGATAATATGAAGATTAGAAATGCAGAGTTAAAACGCTAAGAGTTTCTGCCTATGGCAGGCAAAAGTTATTACGTTATGTAACTTAATAAGGTCATACGACATTGGTCTACAATTATGCCATGCCAAGTGAAAGGCATCTGATTTTAATGTTGTTGCCATGGGCCTCTGATTATTCCCTCCTGTATTGCTGTTCTGCACAACTTGTGGCCTCCTATGGTGAAAGTGTGGAAACAAAGGAAGATATAAAATCTTGACAGTCTAGTCACGGTAAAATCATGATCAAGGCATACTAATAAATGGACTGAAATATCATTCCATTTCTTCATCTTCTTGGCATACGAAAAGGAGGCAGCCTAGAAGCAGTGGGTTACAGGCCAAGAGTCATGAGTTGTATGAATTCCTTTTAAGATTCTCACTAAGAAAAGATCTGTCCTCACCACAACCCCCCAGCATAACCCTGGTTGTCCATGGAGTCTGCACGCTTTCCTGTGATCAAGTTCTGTGGACTGATGCACCACATTTGTGGGGTTCTGTAGCAGACCAAACTTTACTTACAAATCTCCAAACTGCCTTCAGATCTGTACTTTTTATCTAAATTCAGAGGAGCATGATTTAGAAATGGAAAGTAGTCAACCAATAATAGTTAATAAGGCTTTGATGGTGCCACAATATTATAAGCCAAAGGGTTTTAATGGTAGTGTCTGTTTTCAGAACTGAACACAAAGTAGAGATGAAGGTATGGTTCCTGGAATTTTTGGAAGCTAGTGTCTAGAGAAGTTGGAACTTGTGTTACCCCTTGGGCTGCTGCTTTG